AAAAAAGGTAGGAACATTGAGATCTTAACAACAATCTTACCACACATTCTACAGTCATGATCTCTTTTAAGCCCTCTTTACAATGCTTTGAGTCAAAAGGAGATTTTTTTTTTTTTACTACAAAGAAATTTGGCCTCCAAAAGGTCAAGAAGCCTAACTAGTTTATGAAAGAACCAGATCTAGACCCTAAGACTCTTGGTCCATCGTTATTTACAGAACCTATTTTAAAGCACTGGGCAAAACAAGAAACCATGGAGGTTTATAGAAAAAGAGTGACTATCTGTGACTTCGCCAGGTCTAGCTAGGTGTTTTGAGAATAAATGTACATTTGGCATCATCTTTCAAGTATGGGGCTGGGCCAAGATTACATGATTAGGATTTCTTGGGAGATCCGTAAGTGCCTTCTGCCCTTCATTTATAACACCTAGAATTCTTACCACGCTGTTGGTCATAGGACCCTATTTCTCAGCCTATCTTAGGCAATGCAATAATACTCCCTCTGTGCCGTAATGTAAATTAATAACTTCATTCAAGAAAAAGATCATCTGCAAACATTCTTCAAGTGCATCTGCAAACATTCTTCAAGTGCGTTGCTATAGGTAAATTAAGCTTTCTTTGCTGCCTTTCAAAACACAGAAAGAAGGAAATGCTCTAGTTTAAACTCTATGGCTAATAGTTGCATGACCTTGAATAAGACCTTTTCTGTGCCTCGTTGTTCTTATCGACAGAACAAGGAAGTTAAATCAGATGATCTGTAGTTCTTAAGATAACTTATGACTTAATGTTATAGTTAATCAGCATTAACTTTGTCCAGATATTGAACTTCCAATTTGATCAGTGTGTGAAGATCATCCCAAAGGAAGTCAAGAAATTTAGGAATGAATTCCAAATGCACCACCAGATAGACATGTAATCATGCGACAGGGAATAATCTCTTCCGTCTTATGTTAATGGTATAACAACTCTCCTCATCATTTCTCGGGGGTTGTTTGGAGGACTGAACCAGGTACATCACGTGAATATGTTTCATAATCTGTATAGTAGGAGAGAAATTAGAAGTGTAATTACTGTTAGAGTAGATCTTTGAAACACTGAGTTATCATTCCCAACAAGTATCGGGCTGCGTCCCTGTCACTGATCCTTAGGGCATGTGACGTTACTTTAGTTATGATAGGTTTTGGTATTGGAATACGCTCACTGTGAGACCCTACAGTGGTAGGATCTGATCTCCGAGAGCGCCTATCTTTGAACGTTTACAAGAACACAATGGGATACACCAAAAAGAAACAAGAAAGAAAGTGGGAAGGAGGGAATTCGCGGGCAGAAGAGGAAGAAAGGCAAAGGCAAGGTCGAGTTCGGGAAATCAAAGGCGAATCCAAAGAAGCAGCAACGATCGGGAGGGGTAGTGGGAACCGCAGGGCAGGAGCCGGAGTCAGTTAGTTGAGGGGCACGGGTGGTGGCGAATGAGTGGCTAGTCCGGTGACTCGCCAAAGCGGGCACCCGGGCGGAGGAGGGGGAACAGGAGGGTGGGGCTTGGCGAAGGGCAAAGGCAGGGCAAGACTTAAAAGGGAGATGACCCCAGCTAGTTGATGCCACCAGTGACTCCAGACGCCCCGGGCGAGGGGACCCCACGAGGGACCGCGGCGGGAAAGGCCCGCCGCTGGGGCAGCCTCGCGAGGCAGGCGCTCGCAGGCGAGAGGGAGAGCCGAGGAGCGCCCGGCTGCCGCGCCACCATGTGCGAGCTGTACAGCAAGCAGGACACCCTGGCGCTGAGGAGGAAGCACATCGGGTGAGGGCTCGGTAACTAGCGCCAGGGGCGGGGAGCCGAAGCGGGGCAGGTAGCGGGCGAGCAAGAACGCGGCGCGCCGAGGCCCCCCGGGGCGGTGGCCCGCCGAGCGCGAGACGCCGCCGCCCGGCAGCCGCACCT